CTCTGCGTGGTAGTCCGGCATGGTAACCGTTCGGCCAACGAGGCAGTTTAAATATACACTTAACATCGCAAGACATTACTGTCTTCTATAAAAACACAATAGAAGGCACATTACTAATTCAAGACCCAAGTATGTACCTTCTTATTAAGACTTCCATAAACATAGGTTGTATTAGGATTCACAAATATTCAACACATACACGGCAAAGGAATGAAATACACTTGCCAGCATGAGTTTCCCGACACCTTCAATGTGCCCTACATTGTAGGCTATTCAAGGCTATAAATTAATAGGCATTTACTAAACACGCTCGGCTCGTATATAACATCTTGGACCATTTCGGCGCTCAACATCAGGTAAAATTAATGGCAAGCATTCTTATATCTCATTTCTTACATATTATTTCCCACACTAGTTAGCACACGGCGAATAGAATCCATTTACGTATACCGTAGATACTAATCGGGCAACCAATTAGAATGAACATATCAAGGGCATTATTTCGTAAACGTAATACGAGCTTATTATATTCTGGAATGCACTCAACGTATTTTGTCATAAACTTATTACAATATTCAGACTTTCTTGCTGTTATTTCATTCGACATCTGTGGGTCAAAAAAGGTAAAGGAAGTTAATTTCATAAGTCCACATTTTGGAATTTAGATGTTTTTATAATTATTGTTTTTTTTTTAAATGAATCGTAGAGCTACTTGTGAAAGAGTTCGTCCAGGGTAATACTGCCACCTTACCTATTTCTGCCGTCAATCAGTAATGTAAGCATGACTGTTCCGGTTTGGAAGGGTAAGGGTGCTGGTCAAATTACAGGCACATGGGACTTGTCAACTTACATCTCAGTGTGATGACCGAAGTGACAGCACCTCTCAGATCTTTGCGATTTAAAGCTCTGAGTGGTATTGCAACTGTTATAGACAGGCATGTAGCTTACCATCAAGCGCACGACTTGTTCGTCCCGTCACTAGATATAATAAAAAAAATTATGTGCTAACGTCGTTTGTTTTTTATTTTATATTAAATAATTTTGTTTCACCTACAAATTGATTTTAAATGCCTGTAATTAAGACTCTTTAAGTAATGGTTCCTTACTCTCAACTACAGCTATTTTGTAGTCAATTGTGTGTGAAATAATATTTACAGTCGTGGTTAATTAATTAGAGACATACTTGGTAAGGCGAGCAAATGTATATAGAAATATTAAAATTGTGACTACTAAGACTTTGTTTCAGTAAATTTCAACACCCATTAGCAAACCTATATTTTTAATAACGGCTTGAAATCGCAGCGACGATATCAGTTTGTGGCATGTTTCAACAGGAATATTTGCTCATGTTGGACAAAAGGCTTTTCTTCTAACTAAAGTTCTTCTAAAGATGTGGAACGATCACTGGCACCCTTTTTCTTGATCTTATACCAAAGATGCTCAATTAGCTTTAGAACGAGACTGTTGGCTGATCAAACTAGCACTGATATTGACTATTGATGAACGACTTGTCATTCGTGCAGTATGTGTTGGGTCGTTGTCATGCTGGAACGTTTATAAAACCGAAAGGTAGTAGTGAAAGTGTCCCTCAGATCTTTACGATTTAAAGTTCTGAGTGGCACCACAGCAACATAAAGCGCGAGATACTGCTATTCACGCATAGAAATCACACACCCTAAGTCGTTTTCGCGCAATTCGCGCCCTATTGTGGTAGCCCTACAGAAGCACAACTTAGTCGTCCCGTTATGTGGTATCTTAAAAAACAAAAAAGTGTTCTTCAGCATAATATGGTGACATTGTGTCCTCTACTATAGCCTTATATCGATAACGGTTCTTATTGTCTGTAACTTTCCTGCTCCAAATCCAGAAAATGAGCCCAAAATTTTGATGCTACTCTCACCCGTGTTTCACATGTTTTTTGTGAGCCTTTGATTTATTTCTGCTTTGCGTTATTGTCTACCATCTTAAGAAACTAAAATGAACTTGGTATAGAAAGAAAACAACACATGTTGCCACTGGAAATAGCTCCAATAATCGTATTTATGTGCAAATAAACGTGCATCCCTATATTGTTTTTTAGGTAGATACCGAGGTACTCTCTAACAAACAACATTGCTTCTGGCAACAAAACATCGTCAAACAATCCTCGCTAATACAGCCCCAGTTATGCCTGCCCTAAGCATTTCTTTTTGATTATTAATTATAGGATCTATCTTAGCTAACTTGACTATCTCTTTTAGGAGTTGTTTTCTCGGTTTATTTTATTTTTTTATAACTATTTTTAGAGCAATTTTAGTACGTTGGTCATGTTCCGCTGCACTAAACACCTTTAAACATTTTATTTAAGTGATCTCCTATTATAAGACATTAACAAGCAAAACTGACAACATTAATATTTTTTTTAAATGCAATATTTCCTAACTTTGTTTGCATTCATAATTTCATAATAAAATTATGTGATAACAGAAATTTATGAACTAAAATTTCGCAAAAGCAACACCAGAATGAAGTGAGAAAACAAAATTCACGATTTATTTTTTAATTTTGAAAATAGCTAATAAATTGTATTTTTATGACGATGATTTAAAAAGTTTGTAATTAGAGAGGCACATTACTGTTAATTAGGGAATACTCATTGGCCAATTATTATTGTTATTCTAATATAAAGAAGCAAAAAAAAGGCGAATTAAAATACACAGGTAGTTGTGAATGTGTGGCCACCCAGTGTTCCTAAGTAGTTGACTGCACCATTGACCTACCAACAACCGCATTATGTATTATTTAGATATCACAAGCACTACTCTACATAGCTCTAATGGAAATTTCACATGCATACACACCAAGAAAGAAAGGAGAAGTAAATATTAGGTACTACATAAAAAATAAAAAACTAGGAATTATGTTGTGCATTTTATTATCAATTAAAACTGCTAAATCGTCAATAACAAGTGTGCGGATAGAATAATAAAATGGAATTAACAATTTTGTTTTATATGTCTATTTTATTTGCAAGTAATTTAATTAATTTACTGTACTGGTACAAGATATAAAAAGATTTTAGATCACAGTAATGACAGTTCCCATTGTGTTGTTTTGGAAAAATGCATACATTTACAGGTAATAGAGTCAAAATTTAGTCTACTTCAGAGATTCATTAGCTATAACTCCATGCTCATTGACGTGATGAGGATTAAAATTTTACATGTTTTTATTAAGGTTATTATTAATTATTAATAGACTTTCATGTGTAATAATATTAAGTGTAATAATATTATTATTATTATTATTAGTGTAATAATATTTCCAATATGTGAACGTAAAATAGTAATAATTAAAAGTGTGAGACTGGGATAACTTCGGTTATGCTCATTTCAACACCGCTAATTATTGAAAGATTGTCAAATTTGGACTGACGTTTAGATTTATTATTTTTCTTTATTTGTCATGTTGAATATTCAAATATGGAATCTTGAGTAAAGTTTTTAATATTCCCATTAAGTGCAGCACAGATTTCAGGGTCATCTTTAAACACCATGAAAACTGAGTCAACAGATCTCTTTGTTTTTAATGTGCTAAAATCGAAGCTCTCAGTAACACCTATCTGTGAATGTAAATGGTCAATATAACAGTAATGGGATTCCATCATTTTACAATGATGTATTACAATAAAACAATTAATTAAAATAAAAATAAAAATTATTATTATTGTAACAGACCACAGTACTTCTATTATTTGTAAAACTGCCATATTTCATTTATCTACAAGCACTAACATTCAACGTCTTTATGCCGTGATAAAAAGAAGTAGAATAAACTAATTAACTTCTCAAATTGACATCCATAGCATACTTATTTATTATTAGTATTTGGTTGAATCCGTCACAATTTTAGTTGTTGTCATACATATCATTTGGAAAAGTATGTTAAATTCACTTACAGAAAATTTAATTAGTCTATTATTTGACCACCACTTTTTAGATATTATTTATGGTTTCATTTATGCATTTATTTTTTTATCAATTATATTATCTGAAATTTCATCTTCTGGAAGATATGATAGGGAACCAAAGGAGAAAGCAAAATACTATTCCGACCAACACGACAAATATAACCTCGATAAGTTCTTGTAAGCATTTTATGGTAACTGTTATATAATCAGAAGTAAATGGAAACAATAAAGTTTCTGTTGCTGCTAGTATGCAGCTATAGCCGTAGCAGGAGTTTGCAAGCTCCTTCCAATCAAACTGTGATCCGGACAGCTTTGAAAATAATTTCTTACTTAACTGTAAAATAGTTGCCGATTCTTGATCGAAGATATTTCTGTAACACAATTCTATATAAATTGAAATCCCAACTTTGACGTGTTTAATCAAATGATTTTCGTAGGGATGAGGAATAACCGTAAAGACCCAATCAACTAAATGAAAATTGTAGCACAAAAACAAATTAAACTACGTAAACATGCTTGTAACTACAGTTTTATAATGTACTTAAAAATCTTACCAATGAAAATATAAATTTTCTTCGTAGAGGTTGGGTACTGGGTAGATTGGTTACGCCAAATGGTAATTCACAGTAACTGAAAATTATTGGATGTGTATCAGACTGATATTGAAATACAGCACTTAATAATTGTTACGTGGCAAATAGTGGATTTCAGAAGCAGTTTTTGAAACGTTATGAAACTATGAAATTTTCATTCCTGTGTTGTTATTTACTCCACCATTTTAGAAAAATGTTGTCAAACAAAAGTCAGCTTGACAATTCTGACATTTATATTTTCGTTCAGATACTCTATGTCAGATACCGGAAAACCTAAAACTGGCAATATAAATTATAACGGTCTATGTCATTCAAAAGCGGCATAGTTCAAACAAAACAATAATGTCAAACAAAAATTCACTTTTGACAAAATGACAGCAAAATAGTAGAGTAATACAAAAAAATCACGGGATAAATAAATATGCGGCAAAATTCATTATAATGTGACTTTTCTACGGCTTCAAATCTAAATAATATAAATTTTTCTGTGATATGCCGGGGCCGGATGTAAGAGCCAATGACAATGTCCTCGGAGAAATGTCGACAGAGCCCACGGCGACTGTACACAGCGGTGTCGACGCAAAAACCGAACGAAAATTAACTGTACTTGAGACGCATGGATATGTTCTGGGCAGAACAATTGGATCTGGCTCGTATGCCACCGTCAAGGTATTTATAATAATAATATCACAATATTTTAGGCCTTGGGAGAGGCGAGAGTCTAAAATACATAATAATAAATAAGGGACACTGCCGCATTATTGTATAAATCAAAAACATACGATGACATTTCGGATGTTTCAGGTGGCCACCAGCGATAGACATAACTGTCAAGTGGCAATTAAAATAATAAGCAAATTTCAAGCGCCAGGGGACTACCTAAAGAAATTTCTTCCGAGAGAAATAGAAGTCGTAAAAGGCTTGAAACATGAAAATTTGATACGGTTTCTTCAAGCTATCGAAACTACTCATAGGTTCTATAAATTTTATTTCTCACTTGCGTTCTTAAAATTTTAATTTGCAATTTAGTATGGCAAACAGCCGCATAAGTACGTAAACATAACGTTCGCTAGTGGTTTACGTTCAAATCGAAAGTCATAGTCATAATGAATGGAATGCAAGTCATTCCCTATGAAATGGTTCTTTACAGAGTGTACATTGTGATGGAATATGCTGAGAACGGCAGTTTACTAGATATAATCCGCAAAGACCAGCATATAGATGAGATGCGCGGTCGCCGCTGGTTTCGGCAACTCGTCGAAGCCGTCGAGTATTGCCATGAAAGGGGTGTAGTCCACAGGTACTTATTTAGTCGTTTAGCTACTTCGATATAACTATTGATCCTTTTACGGTCTACAGGATATATGCGGGTACAATATCGTTCCATTTGTTCTCGGTAGGGCTTGCATGACTAAATTAATTTATTGCACATTAAAAAATTACAATAAGAACTTAAAACTATGTATCACAGTATAAACTAATGTACAACCCCTTATTGCTAAAGCAACTTTTTCCAGGCAACTTTAGGACAGAAATTTAAGATTTGGAAAGAGTGTGCAATGATAGAGTATCTTCAAATGAGAGTGTTTCAAATTTATAACCGAGAACATAAATAAAGAGCCATTTTGATTTTACTATTTCTCAGAATCTGCTCTACCGAATAAACGTCGAGAGTAGCCTTTTACAGTCGCTAATCATCGTGTCTGATTCCTCTTCTGTGTTGGGCATACCATGGTTGGACTATTGCTTCTGCCGGCATGCTATAATATATTATTCAATAATTGTAAACTGAAAATTATGAGTACACCACCTCAATCCACAAACTAACATGTAGGTTATAACGTTAACGGTTAGGCAGGTGTAATATCAGTGTATCTACCAGGTAGTTAAATAATATTAGATACTAACCTGAACTAGAAAAAAACCTTTTCTTCTCCACACTTTTAGTAACTGTAGAGCTCCTTGTGAAAGAGTTCGTCCAGAGAGGTACTGCCACCTTAATTATTTCTGCCGCCAAGAACCCTCAAAAGCGCTCCGGTTTTGAAGGGTAAGAGTGCTGATGAAACTTGTCACCTTATGTCTCAGGGTGACGGGCGCGGTGGCAGTGCTCCTTAAATCTTTGTTATTCAAAGCTCGGGCACTGCAACTGTTATGGACAGGCGAGTCGTTTAGCAGCAGGCGCCAAACTTGCTCGTCTCATCACTTGATGTAATAAAATATGTGCAAAGTCAAAGTCAAGCACCGCGTGGTTTCCGGCTTAGAATTGAGCCACCCCTACTCTTCCCGCGGGTGTCGTACAAAAAGCGACTATGGGAAATCGGGTGATCCCCAATGCACTATGTCTGCTTGATCGTGATAGGCGATGATCATTTTTTCGCTATCAAGATCACATGAGGCAGCAGGGTAATGCGAAACACTTTCTACCAGAAGAAGGGACGAGAGAGTGGATTTGCACATGCGCAACTACTTATTCACTATAATAAAACTCAAGCGCAGATGACTTCTAGCTATTTATTCCATACAGATCCATCCGGTTTAAAGCTCTCAGTGGCACTGCAACTGTTAAAATCAGAGCGTGTCGCTTTCCACCAGGCGCACGACTAGTTCGTCTCGTCACTTGCTATCATAAAATAAAAGCATCGTAAACATGATCGTAAATTATACATTTAAGACCTACTGTCAGTTCACCCGCCACCAAGGTATTATTTTGTAAATTAAAGATAATTTTAATTACTTCTTGTAATAACAGAGACATAAAATGTGAAAATCTCCTCATGGACCACAGTTTAAATATAAAGTTATCGGACTTCGGATTCGCAAGAGGCCACATGAAACCAAAAAATGGGGTCTATGCTTTAAGCGAGACATTCTGCGGCAGTTACGCGTACGCCTCTCCGGAAATCTTAAAAGGGGTTCCGTATAGACCTCAAGACTCGGATATTTGGAGTATGGGTGTAGTTCTGTATGCAATTGTGTACGGGCGTCTGCCTTTTGATGACACGAATTACTCACAGTTGTTGAAGGTACGTTTCTTGTTTTAGTAAGTGCGATGTAAATTGAAACCGATGAGGCCCCAGTTTGGAGCCCTCTCGTGCATCTATGGCGCTTTTGAAAATTCATTCACATTTCACGTATCCAATTATTATATCATCATAAGTAAAAGACTTTAAATATTGTAATGAACGTTATTAAAATTCGCAGCAAGTACAGAACAAAGTATCTTTTCCCCGCGAACCAAAAGTTTCAACTGAATGCCGCAAACTTATCACCAAGATACTCTCACCTTTGAAGGTTCGAGTCAAGATACCTCAGATCCTCGCCGACCCCTGGCTGAATCCTAACCAGCCTGTGAAAGATGAAGAGGTGGATACCGCACAGGTAGACTACGTCTCGATCGTCAGATAATATTAGATATAATTAAACCTCCTTGCTTTGATAGTTCCAGGTCCCGCAAGCGGATGTCCAAATAATGCAAACAAAAAAGCATACTGTAGCAGAACTCTAGGTAAACGCCTTTTAAGGAACATTTACAATAATGGCTACTTTTTCATTTTTTATTTGTGCCTTTTATTTACACTGTACTATTTTCAAATAAGCCTACAATTGTATTTTATTTCCTCGAGTCCAAACAGTTTTGAAAGATGCTATGTACGCCTCTCAGTAAATTTTTTAGCTTTATCTTTTTACACCGACAATGTACACATTGGCATAATATGATATCAAGTTACCTGTGTAACTACCTATATAAAAGAAGTTAGGTACAGTTTTCAACCAATCTATGCCAACACGAATCTATGCCTAGTTAAAAATCCTTGGTCGTTTAGTCCACGTTTACTGAAACGAGGTGTACCCCTGCACAGTTCATGCACCCTGCACCCATAGGTCACGTAGATCCGGGGCAATTTTTAAGTATTTTTTTTGTTGGTTTCCATTAAATTGTTTAAAAATACAGACAACTTCAGGTGCTCGTTGCGCTCGCTTCAGACATGGCTAACACAGAATAATTCTTCTATGTTAGCCATGGCGTACCAATTCGTGACAAGGATAGGGCGCACTATAAGTTTCCGGAACTGGCCACTTACATAAACAATATTTAAAAAGTAATTACAACATTTGAAAATGGAACTCTTTGGCTGTAGAATAATACACTTTGTTTCATCTGACTGTCACTTGTTTTTTCATTGTGGCGTCATTTTAGAAATTGGTTGTCTACATCACCATGGATTTAAGTTGTGAAAATTTTCGTAGTGTGATTTTCTACAACTTTAAGTATAATTTAACAGCTCAGCTGAGCTTCGCTCGGCTTCAAGCTGCTTTTGGCGATGAAACACAATGCAAGACGACTATTTACAGTTGGTTTGCAAATCATACGTGGTCGTGTGAATCTCAGTGACGAATTTCGTGATGGTCGCCCGTCCACTGCTGTGAACACCAAAAACATCGATGCTGTGCGCCGTATGATCAAAACTGACAGGTATTTAACATACCATGAGATTCGGGCATCTTTAATGCATAGGCATGAGTCAAATACAATCAATACTACACAAACATTTGGGTTTAAAAAAGCTGTGCTCTCGGTGGATCCCACACAATTTGACTGAGGCTCAGAAAACGGGTCACGTCACTTGGTGCAATGCCATGCTTACCAGATTCAACGAAAGAGCGTCAAATTTGGTGTGGGACATAGAAACATGGATTTATAGTTACGATCCCAAAACAAGGCAGCAATCGGGCGTATGGGGCTTTCGAGATGAGCCGAAACCAACCAAAGTGGCGCGCGTACACAGTGCCTCTAAGCGGATATTGCTCCTTTTTTTAATAAAACCGGACACGTGGCTACTGTTGCTTTGGAGAATCGTTGTACCGTGAATAGTGATTGGTACACGACTATTTGTTTGCCGGAAGTTATTGACAAACTCCGTAAACATAACCGTAAACGCCGTATCATCTTGCACGACGATAATGCCAGTTCTCACACGGCCAGACAGACAAATGAATTTTTGAAGGTGAACAACGTTGACCTTATGAGCCATCCCGCGTACAGTCCCGACCTGGCACCTTGTGGCTTTTAATTATTTCCAAAAATTAAGCACCAGTTACGCGGTCAACGATTTTAATCACCTGAAGAGGCTGTCGAAGAGTATGAAAAATATGTTTTAAAGATTGTCGCGGAGGAGTAGGGTAAGTGTACCAGTGAATGAAACCTTAAGGAAATTCTCAACTTTTTAAATTTATTAATAATACAATTTCAATATTCTTACAGCCTGACGTCTACCATGGTGACCTCTCACTATTTAAGATTCATTAAAACGATTCTTCAGAGTTGTATTTAGAACAGTTATCAAAATATTTGATAAAATATCTGAAAATACCCTGAATCACCAGTGAATGAACGCCTTTTGCTAGTAAATGAACGCAATAAAACCCAGTAAATGAACACAAATATTGTATTTATAAAATAATCAAAAACATAAATGTTTTAAAAACATTTCACAGTAATTGTTACACTAACTTAAGCTAAAGTTACAAATATATAACAGTGACTGAAGTCATTGTTTAAATCAACCCAAAAATGTATTTCAGTCTTAACTAAACTTTAACTCACAGGATAACATTCTTAAAGTATTGGCATAACATAATTAGGTACCTATTAAAGTTATACTTATCTAATTATTTCAGTCTCAAAATATACACCTAGTACCTATGTAACAAACATTAATAGGAACAACATAATATAATATAAAGAGATCTTTTTTCACTTACTACCTAGCTAAGAATGAAGAAGAAGGACTCACTCTATGTCTTTAAAGCTTACGTCAGTAAAAGAGATCATTCCTCGTCGTGAACAATTTGGTTCATCCAGAACACGTACAATGTCAGAAACATGTACTTCTGAAATATCTGGGACTTGGGGCTTAACAAAACTAACAACATTTTCAACAACTTTCTTCTTTCTCAAAAAATCTATCTTACATTTTAATCTTTCGTCGTCAATCATCAGAATTTTTCCAACAAAAGAACGTATTCTCTTCTCAGTCTTAAACTGCACAATAACATATTTACCACAAATTATATTATGTGGTGGATGATTATCACTGGAAACGGATGTGGACAAGAAATTTCTTTGTATATCTTCATTCTCATTTTGCGCGTTTTGATCAGTTTCTTTCTTCTTTTTTTGTTGTAATCGTAACGGTGTGGTGTTTTTTTTCTGCAAATTTTTATTGTTCCGTGTAATTTCACGTCTACATTCAATTCGGGCATCTCTTTCCTTCTTTTTATTTTTTTTATCTTCTTCTTTCTTTTCCTTTGCAATATCTAGTTTTTCTAGGTATTCTTTAAATTTACGTCCTGTTAAACCAAATGGCATGGGTTCCTTTTTCATTGTTTTTTTCTTTTTGGTTTCTATTTGAGGGTAAGATAAAAAGTTTTCGATAGGAACTTTGCGTTTTGGCACAATCGTGCTCGAAGGAGTACTGGAAATATTTAAGTTACTATCGCCCAAGACATGAGTAGATACTACTTTCTCTTGAAAAGTTATTTCGGGTTTATCAGCATCACCATCATGTATAAAGGGATCTATCAAATCACCGTCATCTTTAGAATTCAAAACAGAGGGACCTTCAGAAGAAACTGTGGCAACAAAATTGGTACATTGTGAAGTGTCAGGCATAATTACTTCGCTATGATAAGTTTGGGCAGTTGAACTATTGATGTCACAAAAGCTTGTGATAAGTTCATCGGATGTGATTTGCGAAAACGTATCATACCACGGCAAGGGTATAGGAGATTTATTTTTTCTTTTTCGATGATAAAGTTTACTATTTCGTCTGTGGTGTCAAACCGTAGCCCAATACCACTTTCAAATAGAATGTCGTCGTCTAGAAGAATACTACAAGACTTACTCAGAACAGGTGGATCTGCTTCAATATTATTTTCATCGGAGCAAACACGAGTTTGTGCTTCAGTAACAGTCACCACGACAGGACTGCTTGGATTAGGTGAGGAAGGATGTTGATCTTTATTTGATGATTCGGCCAGACATTGAGTTGACGTATTAGATAAATCAAGGGGAATATCTGTGGCTGATGAGGTTTCCGTACTCTGACCTCGGTTTTCAAGTTTTAACTTACATTTACTCCATAAACCGTATAAATAATGTTCATGAGATCGATTTATATTATAAGACTGCATGAATTCGTTTTTGATGATGTGTCCAACTTCATTTTCAATTACCCTCATTGTACTTCTTAAATCATCCTTTTGGTCATCAGAAATGCTCGCATCCATATTATTTTGCTCTTTAGCTATTTCTTGTCTTCTTGTATTGATGCACTTAGAGTAGTCAACTGCATTAGGATCAATAGGAAATAAACCACATGTCCTGAAGGCTTTCTGTATGGTTTCGGCTTTTATTGATTTATCATAAGCTTCCTTGAACTTACCAGCAAAACTTTGTTTAGTTATCGGAGCAGTAGTTTTCTGTTTATGTTTCCTTGCAACTTTCTTCCAACTCTTCTTAAGTGGACCAAAAATACCAACGTCACAAGGCTGAATTATATGCGTAGCATTCGGATGAAGGCAGTACAAAAATTTTTTTTTTTCAGAGCAGAAGTTGAACATTTTTTCAATTATAAGAGATTTATGCCCATCTAGGAAGAGCAACACAGGAAATTTTGTGTTATTTTGTACGAGCCACTCGTAGAACAGGACTATATATGATAAAAAGGTTTCAGACACCATCCACCCATTATCTGATCGGCCTATATGCCAAGAATCTGAAAAATTGTGAACCACTGCAGGCGGCATCCTCTTGTAAGGATACACTACAAAAGGTGGCACATCGGTCCCATTTGCTGCAAACGTGCACAATACTGTTATGGACTCTTTTTCTGCTGAAGTTGCTATCTCGTAGGTATTTTTGTAATTTTTTGGTCCAAGAATGAGACCCGTTTTTGGACATGTCATGATGCCAGTTTCGTCGGCGTTAAAAATACGACTAGGGTCTTCTTTTATATCCAGCAAGTTTTCTTCAGCTAAAAATTTATCCAACTCCAAAAACCACTTCCTTAAGCTTTCCTCAGTAACAGCAGCTCTTGCTTTTGATATGAGTTCAGCATTTCTTTTAGTTACATCTTGGTGTCTATTTAAAAAAAGTGATAGCCACTTTCTATCAGGTCTGTTATCAGTGAATTTGGTATTTCGTTGGTTTGTGTCTAAAAAATCTTTAACTGTGTCATAAACCTCTTCTGGATGCATAGGAAAACCCACTTTGGCTTTATTTAAAATCCAGCGAGCAAGTTTTCGCTCTTCTTCGAAAGGTAGTTCTGAAATTGGGCCCATTTTTCGTTGCCATGGTACTTTATTGTTGATTTTGTTATGTAGAGTTGACTTTGGTATATTATACGCTTTGCTGGCCTTATTTATACTAATTTCACCTCTGAGTATAGCATTAAGTGCTTTCTCCAGTGTCTCTTGGGTGTACCGAAATCTAGAATAGGACTTTTTGATGGGATCCATTGTGCATGCCTAAAACGATAGAAAACTTGTTTTATAAAAACAATATGTATGTAACTATGTAGACTTAGTATAACGGGCCATAAGTCCATTATTGATAGTAGATATCTACTTAATTACTTGGATCACAAAGCAAAATTTGATACCGTTCATTCATTGGTACAATAAAAGTTGAAACACCAGTACTTGAACACGTCAGTTTTTCATAGTATATTCACTGGATTGTAAAAACCAATGAAAGAACACCTATGTTCCAACACTAGCCAGAAGATTAGAAATCAGTTTTGGAACGTTATTTGCAAAAATGAACTTAATATTATCAGCCTAAGTTGGGTTATTAATAAATCTTTGAAAAGCCAACGTTCTAGTGAATGAACCATATGTTCATTCACTAGGGTTTTGGTAATTTCTTGAGCTAGTGCATGAACACGTGTTTTATTTAAATATTACTTACAAAAATGATTAAAATTGTCTGAGAGTATAAGCATTGAGTCATATATAACCTTTATCTAAACAAAAATCTATGTAAACACTGTAAATATGATGACCAAACTACGATAAGAAAAGTAATGTCTTACCAGGCCCCTAAATTCTTGCTCATACAAAAAAATTTTTAGTAGCACACCTCAACTTTCCCGTGACGCCATTTTGCAACTGAGCTGTATTTGTCATCGGAATAAGAATTGCCATGTTCGAAATTATGTTGCCAACGAAAAAAAAAAAATGTTTACGGTAGAAATTGTTTGTTTTCTTATTTTGGAGAAAAAATCGTGTTTTGTTCATTCACAGGGGTGTGTTCATTCACTGGTACACTTACCCTAGCATAAATTTCAAAATTTGTTTATTCGTATGAAAAAGTGCATTAATGCTAACGGAGAATATTTTGAGAAACAAATTCATTTCTGACCGTTTATAGTTTTTTTTTCTTATTCATTCCGGAAACTTATAATGCGCCTCACGTATTTCGGGTTGCCAAAAAAATAAATAAAAAATTGGACTGCTCACGTTTGATATAACCACTTGATTTAAAACGTAAAGGCACCTTCGATATTTTTAAACTATGTTAATTATAATTTTACATATAGAGTGAAAGCGTCTATCTGAACACTCGCTCCATCTGTAAATCCTATAATAGTTATTGAGTCATATTTTCAAAATAAAGAAAGTGACAACTTGTACGTAACTACTTTAGTGTGTGGCTGTGCGTACGTCTTGTACCTACGTCCTGTCCACTTTAATAAATTTCGTTCCATTATACATTGTGTCATTGTGTATATAGAAAAACTTTCATCATAACCGCATAAATACGTAGATGAGAGTACATTAGGCATACATAGCATGTTTCATTTTTATATAATTACATTGGACCGCTTATTCCCAGTCGTCACCACTGGCTTCGTTCCCACTGGCGACAAATGGGAAAAAAACCCATACATATATTACAAGCAGTGGTGACAAACGGGACAAAAAGTCTCAGTTGTTGCCACCACTGGCACTGGCACTTTCCACTGGCGACAAATGGGAATAAAAACCAATATGTTACCAGGTGGTGACAAATGGGATAAAAACATCAAGTCAACCGTGTCCATGGGACCTGTAAAGGGCCCTAAACGGTGGTTTGTTTGAAAAAACAAATATACGCGATTTAAATCCGGAAAAATAGTTTCATTTCCTATCTGTATTTTTATCATTAAACTCGAATGTTATTTTATTTCCTTTCAATGGCGGCTATAAACAAACATTGGGATTTTTTTGTTAAGTTTTTTATGGTAACATGGGTTTTTTTCCCATTCGCCACTGGCAACAACTGAGATTTTTTTGTCATGTTTGTCACCACCGTCACCTGTAACATATGGGTTTTTTTCCATTTGTCGACAGTAGGAACAAAGCCAGTGGTGACGACTGGGAATAAGTCCATTAGACGCTGATGTATCAGTCACAATATGTCATAATTTGTTCTTTTTTTCAGGAAACCGTACAAGTTAGTAAGGACGAAATCAAAAGCGTCAATATTGGAACAGTGACATTTGACCGAAAATTAGAAGGAGTTAAATGAAATCAGTGGATATTTTTCTTTTTCACAAAATTACGATGACTTTGAAATAAATGTTACAATATTAACCACAACTAATGCTTTTTATTTAATTATTTATTAAAACTACTTTAAACAATAATTGAAGCAATATACATGTTTTAGGAATTAATACCATTTGTACCTCTATTTACCTATGTATACAGCGATATTAGTTTAATATTTAAAAATTATTTTCGGATTCATATTTACAGGCCGAAATGTACCTACGACAATAGCGAGGTGCTGTTTGGTCAAGACAAATCATGTAATTTATCGAATTCGAGTAAAATATTAAGAGTAAACATAACCATGCTGTTATTTTAGACAAAACTGTACAATATCAGAAATACTTATTTTCGGGCCTTATTACACGACTACGGGTAATAAGGCACGGCTACAGCTAATAGTGATCCCCACTAAATTAGCACATATACAAAAATCCGTCAAACTTTTATAATTATTCTAAATAAAGCAATTTTTATAGTTGTTGTTAAAAAAAACTAAGAGATGAAATCAAATTTTATGTTTTATAATAATCATCTGTAACAAAATAAGCGTTAATGTTACCCTCCATAAATAAGATTTAACATAATTTGTACGCACTAAAATAATCTAAAGATATGTAAATAAAACAATTATTTCATTAATCAAATTTTTATTGATATGATATTCAATTATTTTTTTGTGAAATTACTCCACTAGTTTGTTATAATTATTAATACAAAGATCGAACACTCAGAAAAAATTCCTTCGATCCGGTCGGATTCGAACCGACGTCTTCTTGCATACCGTGCCAGACGCTATACCAACTAAGCCACGGAACGAACCAACGGACCTCACGAATTCTTCTATGTTGCTTGCGTCGTGTCTTTGTACTTGGTCTTTCAACTACATGTTTTCATTATTTCATTGCTTTGCCAATTTTTATTTTATTTTAACTTCGTGTAATGAGGCTCATGACGACCAATAAAGCACAACGTTTTTTTGTCGGACTTTATTAAACGACACGGCAAAACCAAAGTGAAAAATGACGTCTGAATATTAAAGTTAAATGTTTTGTTAACATTTAAAAACAGTAAGGAGTTTAAGTCAAGTTTAAACTAACGTTTTGCTGACTTTGAAAATTACGTCGGTAGTTACTTGACGTACGTTCACGTGTTGATGTTGCTCGCTTCTGTAGGTTTACCCTGGAGACCCTACAAGTGACCCCTGAGTGGTGCTAAAGAGCAACAACTCAACAACTACTGGCGGTAGGCTTCGGCCGTGGCTAGTCACCACCTTCCCAACGCAGCCGAGTCGCCATTAGGAGGCGGGAATCTGAACAGCCGCATTGCGTCTGACGACGAGTTGTAGCTGCTGATACTGCCACTTTGAGCACTCAGTTCTGGAAGCTAGCGGGAGCCGAAGTAAGGTGCACCGCTGGTCGACATTGGGAAGTTGGGGCCCAAGTAGCGTGAAAGCCACCCGTGAAAGGCTGCCCCGCCACCAACGTTGCCAATGAGTGGGGAATTTAAAATCGTTTGAGTTCGATTGGGGCTTTTGTAGGGATTGGCGCTATGTGGGTTTGGTTTGATTGGCTCTATTGACGCCATGCTAGAATGCCCGCATTGTCCCCACCGGGATTTTCGACCGACCACCCAACGATAAATCTCGGAATGCTCCAGCTTGCCGGTTGGCGACCGGGGTTCGGGCGTCCCCGTGGTCTCCAAACCGATTGAACTCTCGTGTGGCAGTGTGAGCTTTACTGCTTGGTTAAACACGACGCAGTGCCTCATTCAACTGACTATTCATTTCCCTAAAACAATGCAATGAAAAACACAAACGGTTACAAGTTTACACAGCGGTTGACATCCTCCCACTCCTCACTAACATCCGAGGTCTGCACTCAAATCTCGATTCGGTCCATCATCATCTTGAAACCGATAAAACGCAACTTTTGATCCTCACCGAGACTTAGATCAGATGTCCGACTGACACGGCGTACCTCAGCTAGCCCGGGTATACTCTGGAGCACAGGTTTCTACCTCGTGCCGGAGTCTGTATGCACGTTCGTGATGACATCTGTGTCAAGCGTCTTAAAAACCTTGAGGCATCGAGTTTTTCTGTTTTATGGCTTCTGGTAGATTACCGATCGCACAGTGGAGATCAGGAGACAACCAAGCTGTTCCAATATTTGAGTGGGACGTCTGATTCATTCATCATCATTCTGGAGGACTTTAACGCACACCATCAAGAATGGTTGTTCCCATACCAGATGACCGATCACGCTGAGAGAGACGTGGAAACTTGCGTTAACGCTAAGCCTATCCCAGCGCCTATCCCAGCTTGTCAGTGGCGCTACTGGGATACCAGATGTTGAATCTCATAACGGCTAATTGCTTGGACCTTCTGCTGACAACTGATCCGGGCTGATACTCTGCGGTTGTGGATGCCCCACTGGGTAATTCGGACCATTGTCTGGTGAAAACTGTATCCGTATACTCCCCGCCCGATCAGAGCCCTAGTGGTATCAGACAGGCGTGGCGACACAGGTTAGCAGATTGGGATGGAATGCGCCATTTCTTTGCGTCATACCCTTGGCAGGTTTGCTTTACTTCAGGAGACTCGACGAGCTGTGTTGATGCTGTGGTCTTGCGTTTGGGTATGGAGTATTACATACCATACTCCGATGTACCCAATCCGAATCAATCAATCAAGGGTTGTTGCTCGACTGCGCAAAGCTCCGAGTACTCGAAATCTGAAGAAAGCTTTTAATATAGCCGCCAAGAAGTGCAAAAGCGTGTTACGTATGTCCAAATTCGACCATGTACACCGCATAGGGGCCAAGCTTGCCTCTTATCCAACAGTAGTCCCTGGCCAAAGCGGTCCAAAGTAATTTTTGTCACCCATCTTTCCCAAGCAGCACACCCATATCTAAATATATACTATAAAATATCTAATAGAATTTAATTCGATTGAATATTTTAAGAGTTCAAATACCCTCAAGATATCTCGAAGAAGGTTTCTAGATAATTTAAAGTAAAAGTAAAAGCACAACTTTATTAGTAGATCACAAGAGTGCTTTGAGAAACTATCTGTAGGTAGTGTTAAGAGTGATTCTTCGTTTTTCTCAAGTAACCCATCTAGAATGCTACAAGACCATTTGTAGAATGTAGACAGTTTTTTTTAGTCTTGTAGACAGTTTTTAGATCATTTATAGTTTTCTTAGTAATGCTATTTTAAAACCAAAATACTAAATCGTTACAAACATATAACTCAATTCTCTTAGTTAAGACTAGATTTCAAGTAAAATAAAAAAAATATATCGAGTTCTTAGGTTTTCGCGATTGTTACACATAGGAAACAAAACTATTTTTCCGGATTTAAATCGCGTATATTTGTTTTTTCAAACAAACCGACGTTTCGGGCCCTTTACAGGTCCCATGGTCACGGTTGACTGAAGTGGTACAGTCTTCAACTAGTTATGTCTAATATTAATGCAAACCACCCTATTTTTTCACTATAGTTACAATAGTTATTAATTAAATACCTTACTTTTAATTTTACAAAGAAAACATTCCAATTTACGTTATATTAAGTTTTACAAATTATTTTATTGAATGAATTTTTATTAAGTTCAATTTATTATTAATTATTAATAGAAATTAGAATAAACTAAAACATATTAATTAGTACTGCAGTCTGATGTCTGTTTGGGATTTTTCATTAGAGGAAATACTGGATCCCAAACTGGTGGTACGGAGAAACCATCTTTCCTGTTGAAATTAGGATGTTTTTTAATTTCAATGGCCTCTCGCAGCATCCTGGGTAGATAACGAACTTCTTTTGCAAGGATGCCGCAGGGAACCTACCACCTAACTTACCTGAGGCTGGCTGCACTATGGCGCCAGTTCGCATACGCCAAAAAGAGGTACTTAGAACTCTACGGAATTTTGACGTGAATACAGCTAGCGGGCCAGATGGAATTCCAGCGGCAGTCCCACGTAACTGTGCGACTGAGTTGTCTCCTGTTCTCACACGCCGGTATCGCCTCTCATTTGAGATTGATGTAGTTCCAGGTCCTGGAAGCTTGCAAATGTACTACTTGTACCCAAAAAAGGAAGCAGAGCTGACCCTGTCAATTATAGACTTATCTCACTTCCATACTCTGCAAGGCTGTGGAACGTCTACTCAACGACTTCTCCTGTCGTACCTTGAAGATAACGACCTCCCCAGTGATCGCCAGTACAGATTCCAACGAGGGCGATCTACTGGGAATCTTCTTGTGTATACCTGTGACATATGGAGCGAGACTATAGAAAAGTAAGGCGAAGCACTTGCAGTGTCTTTGGACAATTCTAAAGCCTTTGACAGTAAGGCTTAATTAAGTAAGTTTCCATGTTATGGGCTTCCCAATGACCTTTGCAATTGGAATTCGGATTTCTTGAGTGAACGATCCATTCGAGTAGTCTTAGAAGGCTACTTTTCCGAACATTGGGCGATAGATCCTCAAGCGGAACCTTGAGGTACTCAACACTGATATGTTAATGCCAGGTACCTATGCTTATGCTGATGACAGCACAGTTGTAGATAGGTACTTCACCAATGCAAGGGTCAGTGGAGAGGAAATCCAATCTTGTCGAGAGTCTTTATTTAGTAGTTTAGATTTGACACTCAAGGCAGTCTCCGATTGGGGTGATACCAATCTTGTCAAATTTAATGCTATCAAAATGCAGGCGTATCTATTCTCCACATAACGGTCTCTATGAGCTGACTCCAACTTTTCGTGATATATCCATACCGATAGCCGACTGTCTCCAGCTACTTGGAATGGACCTGTCGTCCAATTTGAACTTTGGCAGATACGTTGAATCCATGGCCAAAAATTCAGTCAGGAAGACTGGCATCTTTTCCAGTGTGAGGCGTTACTTCACACCGGGGCAGTTGCTTCAGTTGTATCAAGCACAAGTCCGGTCGTGTATGGAGTATTGCCCCCACCTTTGGGATGGCTCTGCTACATATCAAATGGCCACGTTTGTTTCAATTGACA